AAAAATGCGTGAAGCACACATGTTGTTCGCAAACTGCGCATCTTATACATGCTGATTCTCTACATCCGGTGACAAAACAGTAAACCGCCTCAAGACTGAACAAATACTCGGCCGGTATGACACAGGAACCTGGGTATTCATCAACATACCCAGCTTTGTACCAGGAGCATTTTAGAAAATTAGAAAAACGTGATGCACAAAACATTCGATATATATGGGATATATTGTCCCTCTGCATACCGAAGTTTTTCCATCACTGTTGTGTTTCTTGCTGGCATCTAATTTATCTCTAGTATGTTCTTACTGCGTGTTTCCGAAGTTTAAGATGAAATGAGTCGTACAATTGACGTGCAGAACCACTTTCCCTGGACAGGGGTGAGGAGTTAAAATGAAAGCATGAATAAGGCTTCACCTAAACAAATGTCAGAGAGGGTTCAGAGAGTCTTTGATGGAATGAAAAAACACTTCGCAAAAATGTCGGTGATGGCGGGGAGCAAACCCGCACCGGACGTCTATGAAGCGAGACCACTACCACTATGCCACGTCGGCACTTGATACGGAGACGACGAGTTCGCATATCCAAATAATACTACTGTCAAGCAAATTTACAACCCCCATAACTTTTTAAGGGAAGCCATTTAGCAATTTTAATTTCCATTTTCGTAAATAGCATTCAAAACTCTATAGACTTATCTGGATCTCCATTCAAAGTCCCACGGTAAGTAGACTACCTTACCTTGGTTAGTGTGTCTGTTTGTATGCACGTTTGTGTGTCTGTCCGCGAAAAGTCACGTACGCGCGATAAGGATTGTGAAATGTTAAGCGGGTGGAATGAGAAAGTTGTTATGAAATAGGAAGTCTACTGATACTGTTTATGTTGATATCACTGATCACTGACCATGCAAGTCACTTTGAGTCGCCCTTGTCTGGGAATCATAGCCTCTTCTCTTTTTGTCGCAGGATGAGCCTTATCTGGATCCTTTCAATCGCGGGGTAATCAAACATTCAGAAAAGAAAGAAGGTAGGATGAGATAACCGAGTATCATCAATATTCCTATTAGTATAGGGAGAGATAGTGGAATTCAAGCTAACATAAGTTTTGAATCTACATGTTTATGATGGCTTGAACACTTGAAAGCTTTGCTTATAAGCACATCACTCCTAATGCGTGATTTTCAAACTAAACCTGAGCGAAAATTTGGGTGAAGCTGCACCGAGGACACGGCGCATGAGAATGTTTCCATGTTCATTTGAGTAAGACTGGAAATAAGTGGTTGTGGAGATGTTATGCCCTCCGTTGGTGTGCACAGCCCAACTGGTACTAATAAAAACAGTCGAGGGCCACAATGGAGCTTTTTCTGAGTTGACCCGAGTGGACCTCAGTAAGAGACGGATAATCTCACAAACTTGTATTCAAAAAAAAAAGTATTAGAGAAAGATGCTAGGTTCGTGTCGGTTGGATGGTCCTGTTCGTTTCCCGAACCCTTTCGTGTAAAACTAAACAAACTTTTCTAGGATTGGATAACCCTTCCGTTTACTTTTTTTGCTCAATTACTCAATTTCATCTTTCACCCTAGGCGAGGAGGTGTGAACCGTATTCCTCATCCCTGTGAAGGTGGGCCTATTCAAACCAGCTTAAGACCGCAGTCTCATCGGTCACGCAGTCATAAATCCGAAAACTAACATCGGTACCATGCCTCTGCTATCCAATCACCTAACCGCTCCTTGTGACTTTTCATCTAACAAAGATCAGTTGCAAACTAACCTCGTCTTTAAGTAGCTGCATTCCGAGGTCCTTCGCCTGTGCTTTGGCGCGTATCCAGGCAACACTTGGCAGTAATTTAGCCTCCACACATTTCTTGACATCTCCAATCGGCTTCATAACAACCTAAACGTTCTGTAGGAAATACTCGATTCGACGACAACTACATAGTAAAGGAGAATTGGAACTGAGAAGCTCATGAGATCGAATATAAGCAATGAAATAGAAAATAGTGTCTTGGCCCATGGGTGAATTTCGGCAGCCATTTGTACCTTCCTGGAAGGACAATCCGGTTGCACAGTGCACTGTAGATCAAAGAGCTCAGGGGACAGTTCCATGACGAGGACATTGTAGAAAGTATTTATTATATAGCAATGTGAAAAATGTTGAAATGATTATTGGTCGTCTACGCTTTTGAATCGCGCGCGCGACTGCATTTCTGCTCTTGTCTGCGCTCTCTCGTCGAAATATTACCGCGCAGTTACTGGGAGTCGGACGTTCTTGTTTTTCACGACTGGTACGTAGCCTCCAACTTATTCCCTACTCTCCTGGTATTGCTTTTCCTCGCAATTTCGTCATGTAATACCCAAGTCAAACGAGCTGAATCTGCTTACGCCCAGGCCAGGGAACGCAGAGGGGAATTTAGTATTTCTCACAACCTATTCCGTGAGATTCAAACCCAATTTTGGCTTTTTACATTACCCATTTAGGAACCTACTGAAATGAAGATGGGAAGTACGGAATAAGGCGAAGGATGGCAAGCCAGCCGTCATCCATACGAAGGTCACCTGGTTAACTTGTAAAGAACAGACTTTGACCGTATTTGACAAGGGCAAACATGTTTGCTGTTGTAGTTCAGTTCAGCGCAGTCGGCAGTCGCATGCATCTACCAATTGGGAAGGAGATAGATACGGATGTCAACAAAACCTGGGAGGTCCCGAGCCCTCATGTCCCTTTACCCTTCGACCCGGAAAACAACCACAAGGGTGTGGAATAATAGGACGTTGGAGGGCCGTGGAACATGTCCTGAATGTAAAGAACGAATTAAACAAGACATTGTTTAGCATTAAGTGTTGGCTTATTCACGTTACTCTTCATTTTCCCCAGTTACAGTAGCTGTTTTCCGATTAGGACCCGGTGCTGGTCTTCAAAGCTGCTTTCATAGGGGTGCATGTCGGTTGGCGCGATGGGCGGGGTCGCCCCGCCNGGGGGGGGGGGACTACTCGTCCGGCGATGTCGACCAAGATTCAGTTGTGAACAATGGGCAAGCGCCATCCTCAGTCGCTCGCGCGCTCGCGGACTATGAAAGCAGCCAAATTCATTGTTAGATTTAGATACACAGTTTGTCATGCTCGCGAATGCATTCTTGGAGGGTCGTTATTGAAAG